GCTATATTCTTGGGAAATGGTTGAACAAGCTGTTGACAAGCATGATCCATGGCTTTACTCATCAATGTTTCATCAGTTTGAATGAGTTGCTTAAGCTGAAAAGTCTTAGTGCTTGTTTGACAGCACCAATGTTTTTACTTGTTTTTATTAGTTTATTGCAACTGTTCATCAGCTTAACGAAAGATCGGAATGGATGCAGGATATTGTAGTTTTGGCAAGGAAACCAAGCACTGAGCTAGTAAGTCAGATTGTGTTGATGCAGAACCACCAATAGTCACTAACTGCATCTGGATATGTTGAAGTCCCTGTTTCCCTGTTCAATCATGATGTGCTTCATTGCACTTTATGCAATTTCTATTGGTGATCATGTCAACTGTTGGACAATCTCACTAGTGATGTGAAAGGAAGAAAAAAGAGAAAAAGAGAAATCCAAGGATCCACAAGCTCTCTTATCAACAATTCTTGTTGTTATACTTGAGATGAATATATTCTGTCAATGTGAAAAGCACCATATGCCAAACTCACAAACTTTCTTTCACCTTATCTGATCCACTGTTGAAGTATCTTCCCCTGTTCTGAAGCATTCACATATGTGATTGGAGACCATCAATGAAGCAGAGAAGAAAAGGGAAACAAAAAGTATCAATTTACTTTTGCTACTTGTTCAGTAGGGCTGGTGTTATGGATTCCTGCAGGTCCAACCAATCCCATGGAAGCAAGAGGATTCTTTAGATGTGGAACGAAGGAAGGAGGACGACAGAGAGATGGCTGGGATTGGTTGGGTGGTTCTGGTGGGGAGCACATCACCAGAAAAGAATGGGGTGAGTGGGGAGAAAAACTTGTGCTTCTTTTCATCAGGTCCAGCAAAGGGATTCCCTATGCCTCCTCCTCATCCTAGTCCATATTGCCCTGTGAAGCAGCTAATGTCACAACAACTCTCAGAGTACAGAGCAATACAGCCTTAGCAAACACCTGTGTAATTTGTATCTTGGCATGGAGAGCTCAGTTCACAAACCTCGCTCATCACATGAGCATGCAAAGAACAGGATACTTGGTTGGCATCAGAAGGGATTCAGAGTTCCAATAACAAAATTGATGGGTGCATCAGATTTATAGAACTGATCTGGTCAGAAGAGCTTTCCTCAAAATGGTGAAGCTTGTCTTATTTCAGGAAATATCAACTTTTGGCTTATTTCTTCTGGCAACCATTGTTGACATAATACATGCTTACATCATTATCTTGGCACGAGGAGGAAGGAGACTAGGAAAGAATCAAGAAACATTTTTTCTGTAAGTTGTGTGACAAAAGTACCTAACAATATTGTTAGATTGATGCATGTTTAGACTTGCTTTGTTAGTAGACTCTGCCATAATGTAATTGTGTTTTCTAGGTTTTTTTTATCTCTGCTTTGCTAATTTACATGACATATGCATGCAGCCAATACAAAGCCAGACTGATATAAGCTATACAAATCTTGCAGAAGAGTGACGACTACAGCCGACTACACTGTGCTCATCCACCATGGTCATGCCGAATAAAAATAACCAGCAGAACCAGGAGCTCATGTAGCTACGAGACACACTTCTGACCCAGTGACTCTTCTACTACCGACAGCAGCTGAGCAAATGTCTAAAACCCCATTTGCAACAGCCACTTTACACACACTGCCCACTAAACTGGAACTGATAGCACAAATAACAAGCATGCTAAGTTCTTGGGGAGAGGATGGAGTCCCAATCAATCTCCCATGAAGGGTACTTCTTCAGCACAAAGTTCTCAGATTCATCCCAAGGCACCTCAGTGAAGTCCAATTGCTGCATCTCGAGCACCGGCGATGACCCCGAAGAGTCTTCCCCGTCCGATGAGATCTCCACCATGGACGTGACACCCTCTGCCGCCACCTTGGTTGCAGCGTTGGAGTCGGGGTTAGTGGTGTCAGTGGGCAAGAGGGCGCCGCTGGCGCTGCCCTGCTTCGATGAACTGGCCAAGCTTTGGCAAATGGCTTGGAGTTTGGCGTCAACAGAAGCGTGGAGGGAGCCGCCGTCGGCAGCGCCGTGCCGGTTTTCTGGAAAGTTGAGCCTCGCCGACTCCCCGCGTAGCCGGTACGCCGCCTGGTCGTAAGCCAGCGCGGCCTCCTCGGCGGTGTCGAAGGTCCCAAGCCAAAGGCGCGTCCGGTTCTTGGGCAGCCTGATCTCGGCCACCCACTTTCCCCAGTGGCGCTGCCTCACTCCGCGGTAGAGCTTCGTGGTCTTCGGCGGAGGGGTCGAGCCGGCGTGCTTCATGGCCTGGGGCCTCGGTGCAAGAAAGCCGGCAGCTTGGTGTTGGTGGTGGCGGTTCGGCGGCAGTTGCCTGCCGACGATGCTCAGTTGCTGCTGGAGTTGGATTTCAGCTTGGATCTGCTGGATTTGCTCAGGGCTGAGATGGGTGAGCCCGACCGAGCCGACGAGGCCCTGGCGGTCCAAGCCGAGAAAGCTTTCAGGGACCATGCCGGCGCTCGACGGCGACTGGGAGCAGCCATACAAGGTGGGATCTTGATGGGACCGGAAAGCAAAGGTAGGATTTTGATGAGAGTAGGCATCAAAGGAGTGATTCTGATGAGTGGAGCATGGGGGGAAGAAAGAGGGTGAGACGGAGGAGGGAGGAGGAGGAGGAAAATAAAAGTGGGAGGAATGGGTGACAGTGAAGTTGGAGGAGGAAGAAGCAGAGGAGGTGGAAGCACCTGCTATAGAAGGTTCAAGTGGTTTCATGAGATCACAAAAAGGGTCTGCGGAGAAGACTCGCTTGCCGTCGTGCATATCTACAGCTGCGGCCATGTCATCTAAGCGAAATCTAAGCTTCCTAAAACCAAGGAAGAAAAAGAAAGGCAAAAAGGACGAAGAGCAGAAGAAAGATGGGACCTTTAGGAAGGGAGAAAGAGGAAAGAAAAGTTGAAACCTTACCTGGTTCTTCAACAAAACCAAAGAACAGGTGAGGAGAAAACAAAGAGAAAGAAGCTGTATGTATCGTACAAAAAAGAAGAACCTAAAGGGTATGAAAAAAGAACCCTCTGGGTTGATCAAGATCAAAAGAGAGAAAAGCACACAAGCTCTGGATCTCTCGCTCCCTAAGAACCAGAAAAGGGCCTCAAAATGAGATATTTTTTCTCTTCGCGAGGACAGAGGATTACAGAGAGGGATTCAGAGGAGGAGAGATTAGAAATGCAAACCTTGTGGTCGTCGAAGGGGTCGCTCAACCTCACCGAAGGTGGAGGGAAAGGGGGGAGGGTGGGGGGAATGGGTTTGGCTTGGGGGTGGAGGCGACCTCACTCTTGAGGAGAAGAGAGGCTAATGGCTGGTTTATATAGGCCTCTTAGCAGAGCATTGGCTTTCTTAATTACCCTCTGACAGCCAATGAGAACTCGCCACCCTTATCACGAGAGAAGTGGCAACCGGGAAGCTTCTCTCGCCCGCATCAAGCCGCTCTAAGTTCGGCGTCGGCTTCGACTCGGCTTGGCTCGGAGAATGTGTCGTTCATCGATCAACAGCTTGGCGGCGGCATGCACTCCCGTCCGTGCGATGATGAGATGAGCGAGCCGAGCTGCCGCCAGTTGAAGCCAAATGCATCCGTCTTCTTCCTCCATGCTCTACCTGATGAGAGAGGGAACGGCAGTTGAAACCTTCCTCAGGAAACAACGCCCAAAACCTGCTACTGCGCCGTTCTTCCTAAACCGGCACTCGACACACAAAAAAAACCAAGGGCTGTCGAGTATTTCTACAGCTTTTTGCTTCACGAACATCATCATCACACACACATCTCAAGAAACAAAAGATCATCGGCACACATGGGTGTCAATCGCATGAGAACGCAGAGATATCCTACGGTTCTTTTCTCTATGTACTTCTGATCAGTTTGCTACGTCACGGACTCGCTTCATCTTCGTAGATTAGAATCGAATGGCTCTGGTGGAGGTCGGAGGGAGGTCGGGGAATCCCATTGGTCAAAAGGGGAGCATCCGGCACCACCGGTGGCCCCGTGACGTACTCCGTGGGAGACGCCAACCTCGTGAGTCGAGCGGAGCGTCACATGCAAAATGCATGCATGCATCCATCCATGCATGCAGGGGCCTTCGCCCTTTTCTAACCCGTCACTTTGGCGTTTAAGAAAGGCAACATGCATTGGAATTTGGAGGCCATCGTGCTTTTGTCTCGTGCATCGAACTTCTCTCCTCCTTTTTGTCTTCCTCTCTGTGTTCTCCCTTTTTCACTTTTAACTGTTGCAATGTACAGCACGCATATTCTTCTTTTGAGCTCAGAGAGAGAGAGAGAGAGAGAGATGTGTGACTCGATGATGAGCATGAGTTTTCAGAAGATGTCTGCGGTTTGCACATCAAGCTGAGAGCCCACCTCGCTCGTAGTTGCGGCCTTTTACTCGACGAGAAGTAAAAGGGGAATTAGCTTTCTTTTCCTTACTGTTCATGCATGTGACTGCTATCATGGATTGTCTGAGGTGCGGGACAAAAGAAGAGCCGAGCTAGTCGAGCGTCTGTTATCGTTCTCAGGTAACACATGACTCAGAACTTTGTAATGGTTACGTAGATCCAACTCATGCAGGGCCAACATGATATGTACAAGGCGGAATCAAAGGAATAGCTCATAACTCTTGACTGTTCATGAAGAACATTTAGAGGAAAATTTGCATCTTGACAGATGGATTTTGACTGTAACTCTTGACAGATGGCAGCCAAAAGTCTTAATGATCTCCAAGGTTGTAAAGCTTGTACAGAAATTGGCATCATTAGAAGGAAAATGTCATATTTTGGAGACCAAGTATAATGACATAGTTCTTATATGGCTGTTACAGATCCATGCACCATTTCATCATCAATAAGAGACAGGGATTTTGTCAGTTCACACTGCATTTTCTTCATGACTAGTGTCTTTGCTGTCTTTAGGAGATACTGAAAACATTCCAGGAACAACAGTGGGTATACTTGCAGCTACTTGACTATCGAGACCTTTCGAAAAGCAAGTGTAACAACATGAGATATCTTCATGCAAAATACAAAGTTACAATTAACCCAATTAACACACTCTTGGAATGTACAATCATGACTAAGCAACATTTCAATGTTTAGCATACAGCTAAGTTACAAGATTTGAGCACCTAATTACAACTAATACCGGTATGAACAGCATAAAGAAAATGATGTAAGTCAGTATCACATGCCGTTCGGAAGCGAAAGAGCAGTGGCTCACGCTCACTGCCTTGTTTTGTCGGAAGTTAACAAATACAAAACCAGGTTTTTGCCTTGCAGCCCATGTCATCGCTGGCACGGTTATCTCACGTGTACCATCACTGTGGGTGTGATCACAGAAGCTATGGGTGTGAGCACTGAACACAATCCTGCAAAAGGCAAGTTACCAAGGACTGGTTTTCAACTTCCAAATGGTATACAAAATGTGTACAGAATGCAAAAATGATTAGATTGCATTCTAATTTGTTGAAGCTACTCTTGTTGAAAGGTCTGCCATCTAACTACTATCATGTTTCATGGTGCCTGTTCCTGCCCTATTGATGTGAAATCAATTAACATTTATCCATCATAAAATTGATATCTTACAGGAGGATATATTGGAGACTTAAACAGGCTTTATGTGTGATGAGCAACGCAACCATGGTGACATAAACTTTTCTTTCCCTCCTTGTATGAAAAATGATGTGGTGGGTTTTAATTCCAAGACGAGAGACTAACAGCATAACGACTAGATGGATTTTTAAAATAGTGCCTTGTTGGCGTATGTATGTGAAAAAAGTGGTTATGGATGCAAGCACAAAATTGCAGACTCTCTATTTGTGAAGGCTGCATCATAGAATTTAAATAAAGGCATATTGTAATTTCTTGATGTGATTCCGTTAATACATCAATAATTTGAGTCTATTTTTCTCCTAAACACAATCTAGATCACCGTTCCTGACATAAATGATGACAAAAAAAATTTATTAAAATTCAACCCGGTATAAGATGTTAGTCATATAATATGAGGCAATGGGATTCTGGGAAAAAAATAACGACTGAGATACAAGATAATTATCCACAATAGTTGCCTTACCCAAATGGTCAAAGGTCTTAGAACATGTTCACGCGCATGCATATAAAGAAACCAAAATATGAAGTAATCATCTCTATTTCACCAACCTTGGCTTAAGAGCCTGAAAGATGTACTCAGTTGCATTAACAGGGAGAGTTTGGTCCAACTCATATGGGTCCATATCCTTGAAGTTACTGACAAAAGAAAGTAGGAAATGTGAGTATTGACAACAAACTCCAAGCAACCACATACATATCATTGCAAATCATAAATCTAAAATAAGGGAAGCTTCATGCAATTCAATCGTTATCATATCTTTTTTTTTTCTTGATATAGAAGATCCAGATGCACATTCAGAAACCAAGACAAACTATAAGAAGCATCAACATTCTGAGGTGTGGTCAAATTTAGAGAACATGGAGTTCAGAAAGTAAAGGATCTAAAAGAGTTAAAGGAAACATTACAATTAGAAGGTATTTGAGAAAAAGTCATGGACTGGAGCAAATGAGAACAAGAAATGAATTTGGCAAGCACCAAGTCACCCCAATCTTAGAACAAGATTAGCACTGCTTTTAGGTAGCAGACAAACAGTCACATTACAGTAGATCTGCAGATCCGATACTACGGTCTAACTTGTAACTACCTTTTCCTCAGAACATGTTCGTCCTCAAAGCAATAAAGCATGTTTGTTATCCATATCAAGTCCCTCTTTGGAAGTTGTTCTTAATGGTCTAAAATGAATGCCCAAAAGATATAATAATTTCTTCAGAAACTTTAATAACCAGAAACATCTTCTAAGTGATTAATCCCCTAAAAGAATCTTACAAACAAAAAAAGAAATTATTCTTCCAGCTCACTCACTATTCATTCTTGAATAAAGGATATTTCACACTTAATGAAAGGAAGAAATCTTCCAATTGTAATAGCATCCAATTTCAACAGATATGAATACCTTGCACGCATTCATCCACCTTAGGAGCAAAAAGAACCATACGTTGGTAACATATCCTAAATCAAGTGACAGATTTAAGTGGCAATTGACTACCCATAGATTTATGTGGCAGTTGACTAACCATATCCTAAGATCTTTTTTTTTTAGGATTTTGAACCCAAAGCAGAACCACCAGTTACCACAAAAACAATTTACCAGTCATTCTCTGCCCTTTCATTTAAGGCTTCAAGGTCGAATAAAAAAATTGACTCTGAAATGATATCAACTACTACACCTGGAAAGTCTCCCTAACCCATCACACCTAATCACCATGACAACCCATATGACCAGAAAACTCAGCACTAGATTCGGACAAAATCCATAGTTTATAACATTCTGCGATCACTCAGACTTTATCTATCAGACTAACAAACTCTTGTCTTCCTTCTTCAACTTTGTCACTTGATAATCCCTAAATCAAGAACATAATCTCTAAATCGTACGAATGACCTTAATCACATAGCAAAGATTGAAGTCCCAAGGACATACATTACTTGCAAACCCCATGAAAAGTATATCTTCTAAACTACTCACATAAAAGTAAGGCCAGCACAAGTTTTTAGTTCTCCAACCCAAATGCACCATACTGGTGACCCAATTTTCAGTATCCAGATCATCGATCATATGCAACTCATTTAACTATGTAAAAGATAATTTGCTTCTCATGAATTCTAAAATTTTCATCACTGGACCTTAAAATGTAAAATAACTAAGGGACCACCTATGGATGATCATGCACAATAAGAAATATCAATTTATAAAAAGTTCAAATAAAATTGAAGGAACTTGCTTATCCACTCTTAACGCACTAGGATTTTAGTGAACAAAGTCAAGAGCCTCCGATCAACATGAGAAATAACAACATCACTGTCAGAATTTTGATTTTGAGATCCAATACAATAACAAAATCAGAAAAAAATGAGATTAAAGTACCTATCGTCATGCCTTGCTAATCCCTCAGCCATATGATGATAGATCCCTAGATCAACTTTTGTGTCCCCAATAATGTTTCTCTTTTTTCTGTATAGAGGAAAGTGAAGCAACAGAACAGGACCAGAACCAGACTCCATGTGATTATCTCTCCAATCGAAGTTTTTGGAACCCTCTGTCCTCATAGTAGGCTCAGAAACTTTTTCTGCTGCTTCGTTCATTGGATTTCTTAAAGCAATGCTTTCTCTTTCTACAACTTTTTCGACACCGAAGCGTAAATCATTATTACCACAAAGCAAAGCAACGGCATTAAGGGAAACAAAACTGATATTGCCGATCTCAAATGCACTGCAACCAGATGAGCCTAATCCAGGTAAATTGCTTGAAACTTGATTTATAAATTGTTCATCTAACTCACTACACTTCCCAATATCTCTGTCCCCCAAAGCAATGTGAAGAGGAAGTCCACCAACCGGACCCAGAATCGTATGGAACTGCCGCAGAACTGTTAGCCACTTGCTGCCCGTCAGCGCCCATCCTTTCGCAGAAATATCACCCAAAACAACAAGCATGTCCGGCTTAAGCCTCTCAAAGGATTTCTGTAGGACAGGCAGAATCCCAAAGTTCAAATTTTTGGTTTCAACTGGAATCAGAAGACTATAAAGTTCGAAACTTTGTTTCCATTGTGCAACCAAACAAGTAAAGATTCCAATTTCAACTACAGATCCCTAATTTCTTTCTACGGAATCCCTGAACTAGATATCAACAAACAGACGGCTTTGGATAGATCAGCGACCACGGTACAGGAAGCAATAATTACCCTAAAGAACTTGGATGTGAAGGAATCCCTAAAGAAGGTGTCGGCGTAGCTAGCATCTGATCCCAGCAACAGGAGATCCGCCACCATCATCACCTTAGATCATCTGGGTGGCTAGCGCCCTCACCTCCTCGCCCGGATGCCACGCACGATGGCCCCGAGATCCTCTCTTCCACCGCAATCAAGACGGCGACCATGACAAGCGGCAGCACAGGTCCCAGTGACGCCATCTCCGTAATCGACGGATACAGGGCCTACGGATTGCCGAGAAAGCAATAGATGGGGTCCGGATGGAGGAGGAGGGATTGGGAGGAATAGGGTTTCGGCCGCCATGGATAACCGATCTCCTCTATTTCCTTTCTC